GGGCTGGGGGGATGCGCTGAACGCCCAAGTGCAGCGAGTTACCGTGTCGTGGGGCCCAGACCTGGGAGCTGCCATCTCTGTGCCTCAGTTTCCCCTTTTCTACCACGAGGATAATCCTTGTTTTCCAATTTGACTGTGGAGTTAAGAAGTGGCCAAACGCTTTAGTGTTGCTTCCCTCTTTCTTTTCAGTAAATTCTGTGGTGTCAGATGCTGGGTCTGTCCCGCTGGGGGGGCACTGGGTGAGGTGGGTGCTGCTCTGTCCCACTCGGGGGGCACTGGGTGAGGTGGGTAGGATGCAGCTTCCTCCTGCGGAGCTGGGATGACCCCAGCGATGGCTGGGGGGCCCGGCAGTGCCACCTACCCCCAGCAGCCGGGTTACAGAGCGGGGACAAAGCTGGACACGCAGGCGACGGGTGACAACGGGGCGAGGGGGGGGACACGGACACGACAAAGGTGGGTCCCGCTCACTGTAAGCAGAAGTCATCTGCCTAAAGCCCCCACTGCGGTTTGCGGGGTCTCTGTCGGACTTTTTCCCCATTTATTTAATAACATTTTGCCTCCCGACAGGATTTGTCCCTCCTCACGTCCCGTTTTCCATGGCCGGGTCCTCTGGAGCACCCCAGAGGTGGCCGCAGGCCAATGCCAGATGGCACGATGCTGGCAGCAGCGGGAGAGCTTTGTCCTGCCCTTTGAAGCTGCTCAGGGGCCGCTCTCTTCCCAAAGAGCCTCCTCGCAGGGCTCTCAGGACGCTTACGGGCTATTTTCACCCTCCTCACTCAGATCTCCGCGTAAAGTTTGTCCGGGGATCGTCTTTGGGGTTTTATCGAGGGATTGATGCGCCGAAAGCCTTGCCCTCGTGGGCATTTTAGCAGTGGCGGGAGGAAATGCCTCTCGCCCACCGAAATCCCGTTTCGGAGGCTCCGTCGTGCCTTCGCCCGGCGCTTCCCGCAGCCACGGGCCAGCTCGCCGGTGCACGATTCCCTCTAGGGATTTTTAAACCCACGCCGTTGGCCGCAGACGGGATTCTGGCTCTCTCAAGGGCGTGACCTTCCCTAAAGCAGCTGCCCGCCAGCGTCGTGACACAATGAGGAAACTTGTTGTCACCCGGTTTTGTTGTCACCCGGTTTTGTTGTCACCCGGTTGCCCGTTGCCCGCGGGGGTGGCAGAGCGGGAGGGGACACATGCTGCCTTCGCAGGAGGGGCTGCCCGGAGCAGCGGGGCCGATTCGAGTTATTGTTCTGGCTCCGGCGCCTTCTCCAGGCGCAAAGCAAAGCGCAGTCGGTCGCTCCGACCTCAACAAACTCCCGTTAGCGGCTCCCAGTAAAACCCCTTCCCACTCCCCCAGCAGCAGGTAATCAGTTTATCCAGGCGGTGGAAAAGGGGCTTTGGGAAAAAAAATATATATATAAAAAGTGTTTGACATCGTCAATCTCAGTGGCACTTCTAGGTCTGTTCTGGTCCTGGGGGACGGTGCGCGGGGCTCCTGGCTGGGAGGGGCCGCCCCTTCCTTGCAGGGACCCCACAAAGATGGGGAAATGCAAGGGCCAAGCGGCGCTGGGGGTGGCCAAGGAGGGTCTTGAGCCCCGTGGGAGCCCCCCAGGCCACGGCCGGGATGTCCACAGGCTCCGGGGGCCCTTTGCGCCGCTGAGCCCGGCTCGCGGAGGAACGTCCCTGAGCGTTGCGCCCCGGTGCCAGGGAAATCAAAGCCCCTGCAGCCCCATCCCAAGGAGGAGGAATTCAGAATTTGGCTCAAGCTGGAATCCTGGGGCTGCTTTGGAAAGCGCGAGGGGCGGAGCTGGTTGAAGGGGCGCAGGCAGCAGTGTGACAGTGACTCAGTTTGTAAAGGATGTGACCAGTGATTCAGATCTGGAAACATCAACAGTTTATATGGAAGGAAGGGAGAGAGGAGCGAGCCCAGCTCCCATTCCCGTGCTTGAACCCCCCCAGTCACGCTCCCGGGGGCTGGGACTGAGCCCCAGACATCGCTCAGCCTGGATTTACCGGGCTGGGGAGGGGGGCTGGCGGCATGGGGCTGGTGGTGGCCTCCCTGGGCCACGTGTGGCACGTGAAGGTGTCGGTGTGGCTGTGCAGCTCCCCCACCCCGTCCCCGTCCCAGCTGTGGCCCGATTGTCCCTTGGACTGATGGTCACCCCGTAAATACGGCTTTGCGCCCGCAGACACAAACAGCCCCCAGACCAAACCAGCACCCCACCGTATTTCTCATCGTGGTCGCGGGATCTAGCAAGAGCGCCCCACAAATAACGCCGCAGGGAAAAGCAGCTGGTGGCCCAGAGCTGGGAGCGACCAGCCGGCCGCGAGCAGGAAAGACAGAACCAGAAATGTCGAGATTAATGATGTTCTAAACCCACAGTGATCGCTGCTTTGGTTTCTCCCGGAGAGCCCGTGCCAGGACGCCATTTCCCCGCTGTGAGCATCACCGGGCGGCTTCGGTCCCGGCACTCGGCGCTGCACAACCTCTCCAGCAGCTCCTGCCCCAGAGGATGAAGAAGGAGACACGGGGCTGCACACAGAGCACCCGGGTGGGTGAAGAATACACGGAACACCCAGGCTCCAGGGCGGGGACGTGGCGCTCGCTCGGCGGAGCAGCCCCCGCGCAGGGGACCCTCCCCGCAGACCTTCACTCTGTTCGCTGCTCCTGAAGGAGCTGGAGGCGCGGAGCTGGTGAGGGTCGCGCCGGGAGCCTCAACTTCTGTCTTCTCTCGCCGCTCTCGGCGGAAGACGATCTTTTTATACGTGGATCTGGGGATCCGTCCTCGTGACTCGAGCCTCTCGCAGGTGTTTGGGCTGCTGGGGTGGCAGCTCCCCCCGTTTCTCGCACACGCCCAGCGCTTCCTCTGCCTCCTCCCCAGCAAAGACCTCGGAAACGCCGGACACGGCAATAAATAACCCCGTTCTGAGAGACAGAGGCGATGGGCTGGATGCTTTGGGGATACATCTCGTAACGGTTCAACCGTCCTTCAGAAAAGGAAGGGACCAGTATTCGCATCTTCCGAATCTCATCCTCGTCCACTTTGTGCTTCTTCTCCTTCCGCTCCAGCTTCACCTTCTTGGCCGCGGGCGGCTGCAGGATGGATCCTCCCCGTCCACTGCCTCCGCGCTCCTCACCTCCCCGTCCGGCACCTCGGCCTTG